TTAGATTAGGTTCTTGCCTATGTATTCCCCTGTACGTCAGATCTAGAAAACAGGTAGTTAGACCTAATCTCTTCAAGGGCAAGTGTCTATGCATAGTAACAAGACTGGTCCTTGTGACCTTTTCTAAAACTCAGTCTCCTTATTTGCTATCTTCTATGTATACTTGGTACCCTCTGAGTAAACAGAAATTAGAAATGTAGATCCCAATTCTCATAACCCCAAGCACTACAGATTTCAAAGAAAGAGAAATGCCAAAAGTGACACACCAAAAAGAAGCCATTCTTTTCCCTAACTCTTCTACTGTTTTTGTTATGAAAACTTGACAAAGTCATGCTTTGACCAAAAGGACTGAAGAAAAAAGTATTAATAATCTTCTAAAACAACTTTCATGAATCTTTCAGACAAGTGACAATAACAATAACCCACACATCAATTGACAAAGTTGCCATACATTGGGGAAAAGGACAGCTTCTTCAACAAACAGTACTGAGAAAACTGGACATCCACATGCAGATTTGAAACTTGATCCATATTTCTAACCCTGTAAAAAATCAACTCAAAATGGATGGAAGGGCCTTAATGTGAGAACTGATACTCTGAAATTACTAGAGAAAAACACAGCAGGAATAATTCATGGTATGGGTACAGAGGTGGGCACAATGGCACACACCTGTAATCCCAACAACTCAGAAGACAGAAGAATGATGAAGTCAAGGGCAGCCTAGACAACATGGTGAGGCCATCTCAAAAACCAAGGATGTTGGTACAGGTAATGATTTTCTGGGTAAGATTCTAAAAGCATAGGAAATAAAACCAAAAATCAACAGCTGAAATTGCATCAAACTAAAAAGCTTCAGCACAGCAAAGCCGCACAAAAAATCAACTGAGTTGAAGAGACAACCTACAAAACAGAAGAAAATATTTGCCAGCTACTTATCTGACAAAGGGTTAATGTCCAGAATATATAAAGAACTCTAAAAAGAAAAAAAAAAAAAAACACATAATCCAATTAAAAGTGGGCAAATGATCTTTTCAACAGAAGAAATATAAACGGCCAATAAATAGATGAAAAAAGCTCAGTATCACCAGCCATCAGAGAAACACAAATGAAAACTACAGTGAGGCTCCAGCTTACTCCAGTTAAGAGTGGCTGTTACCAAAAAAACAAGTAAGTGCTGGAGAGAAATGTGGAGAAAAAGGAACTCATACCCTACTGGAGGAGTGTAAATCCAGCCTCTATAGAAAACACTATGGAGGCTCCCCAAAAACCTAGAAACAGAATTACCATATGATCCAGCTATCTAAAGGAAATACTACTGGGTATCTATCCAAACGAAATGAAGCCATCATACCAAAGAGTTACTTGCATGTCCACATTTATTGTGACACTATTCACTACAGCCATTCTATGCCTAAGTGCCCATCAACAAACAAATGAAAGAAAATATGAAATATATATATATATATATATATATATACGTATATAATTGTGTATATATGTATATATACATACACTAATTGTATTAGTGTATATATGTATATATATACATATATACATATATATGTATGTATATATATATATATATATATATGTATGTATATATGTATATATACACAATTAGTCAGCCATAACAAAAAATGAAATGCTATCATTTGTCAGGATAATGTGTGTAACTGGAGGACATCATATTAAGCAAAATAAGTAGACAAAGAAAGACAAATATCACCTTTTCTCTCTCACATGTGGAAGCAAAAAATAAAAAAATAATAAGGTCCTCCTAAAATTAGAGCAGTGATCACCAGGGACTGGAGGGGGTGCTGAGGGAAGTAGGGGAGTAAGGGTGGAAGAAAAATGGATGGATATGGTCAATGCACACTGTATGCGTGTATGGAAATATCACAGAGAATTTCATTAATATGTATAAACAATATGCTAATAAAAATAGATATTAAAAAGATCAATAAGTGCTCTGGATTAACATGGCTTTTCAAATCATTTTCTGCAGAGCAACTTTGTTAATATAGGTAGGGGTATTTCTATTTCTTTTTTTAAAGCTAAAGAAAGTCAATTCCACAAATACCTGCTATAGTTTGGATGGTGAATGTCCCCAAAAGTCCATATATTAAAGGCTTGGCCCCAGAGTGGCACTATGGGAAGCACTGCGGGTCTTTAGGAGAGACCTTGTATAAGGTCCTTAGGGGGCATGGGGGCATATCCCCAAAAGGGATGTCAGACCACTCCTCCCACCTCATCCTCAGCCCTCTTTTGCTTCCTGGTGGTGAGGTAAGCAGTTTGCTTTACCATGTGCTTCCCCTTGACTGTATCCAGCATCCCCACCAGAGACCTACAAGCAGTAAATCCACTTGATCATACACCAGAACCTCTGAGACCATGAGCCCAAATAAATCTTTCTCTTTTTAAGTTCATTGTTTCTGGTATTTTACTACAGTGACAGAATGCCAACTAACAATACTAAATATCATTCAATGCCATTTCAAGTATTTTTGAGGCAGTGCTAGTACAGACAGGACTAAGTCTAGTGGAGTTATTTTAAATTTTTCATTTTTCAGATCCACTTTATACTTAAGCACTCAACTAAACATTCAGTAATTTGGGAGCACCCAAAAAGAATCTGCAGAAAAGGAGCAACATGACTTTATGGTGATAAATCCAACTGGTCTCTCAGGATATTAACACAAGGAGAAACAAGTCCAGGTTTACATCCTCTGACATAAAGCAGCCAGAGTCCACTGGCCATCACTTCCCCTTCAGGTCTGAAAAGAATGTTGTGACAAGCTAAAGAGTAAAACCTTATTTCATTATCCTATCTATTCAGGCCAAAAAACATCCCTGATTCACAGATTGCTTTACTAAGCTATAATTCACACACAGTAACATTCAACCTATAGTACAAAAGTCTGTCATTTTTAGTATTTCACAGTTGTGCAACCATCACCACCATCTAATTTTTTTTCTTTGTTCTACTGTTTTGTTTTTTTCTTGGGGCGGGCAGTACTGGGGTTTCAACTCAGGGCTTTGCCCTTGCAAAGCAGAAGCTCTACTGCTTGAGCTACAACTCCAGACCTTTTTGCTGTGGTTATTTTAGAGATAGGGTCCTGCTTTTTTTTCCCAGACTGGCATGGACTGAGATCCTTCTATTTTAAGCTTCCCACTGTCACTGGGATAACAGGTGTGCACCACCACACCCAGTTTGTTTGGTTTTCTTTCCCTAATACATCCCCTAATACATAGTTAACTGTTGCCAAAGTGGCAAAATAAGAACTTTAAAATCTTCCTATCGACTCCACCAGAGTTCTTTGCACCACATTCTCTTTCCACAGCAAGAAAAAGGAGCAACAAATGCCTATTACTACCAAAATGATTAACAGAATAAATGCTCAATAGGTATTTAATTAATGAAACTGATAACAAAGCTAGATAGCTAAAAAGAAAAAGCATCTTACTGTTCCAAAGAAGTGTCTTAGTCTTCTTTTTCTTACTACTAAAGAATATAATTCTATATCTTATATTCAAGTCTTTACCTTAGTAAAAATATAGCAACATCTGTAGAGGCCTAAAAGCAAAAGAGCCTAACTAGGACAACTGAAAGAGACTCAAGAATGCAACATTTCTAATAAGAAAAAATTATAAGAATATGCCAAAAGGTCACAAAGCCACTTGATGGAGCCTCCAATGACAAAAGCTAGAACTGAGCAACAAAATGACAGTATGGTTGCTCCTCGCCTTACAACAGAGTTACATCCCCAAAAATCCATCAAAAATTGGAACTTTCCAAAGTTGAAAATGCACTGAATGCACCTAACCTACTGAATACCACAGATTAGGAACACTGTAGTGTCGGTGGCTTCCCTTTCGATTGTGTGGCTGAATCAGGCATGATACAATGTGCCCATAATCTCAGCAACTCAGGAGGCTAGGGCAGGAAGGTCATGTAAAAAGACATAGGAATATCATGTACTCCCTGATCTGATGCCCTGAGATCTTGTGGGGGTTCGGGGGAAGAGAATGCATCTTTCACTCTAATGAAAGGAAAAATATTAGACAAACCCCATGGAGAGACATCTTACAAAATAGCTAGTGATCTTTTAAAAGACTCAAGGTCATTAAAAACAAAGAAAGAATAAGGAATTGTCACAGTTGAGGGAGACTAAGGAGACGTAACCACTAAATGCAATTTGTATTCTAGATTGGATGCTGAGCCAAAAATGGACCGTACATGAAAGGGGAAAACATCAAAACTCAAATAAGAACTGTAGACTAATTAGTAACATTAAAACAATGCTACATCCTATAGTATTTTCTATCTTTTCCATAAATCTAGCTTTATTTCAAAATAAAGTATATATGTTTTCAATGCAATACATCAAGGTGTAAGACTTTGCTATTTGAATGAACCCCATTGTAAGGAATGACTCATTTTGGCTAGCTGTTGTAATTTTCCTAATAAGAGAGATTATCAAATGATGTTAGATGCAGAATCTCAAAACCTAATTCTTAATGTGCATGCTGGATTGCAGTAAACAAGAAAGCAAGCCAATGAATGAAAAACACTCATGCTAAACCCCACATGGCACACTGTTCACAAAGAGATAAGCCAGAAAAAAGACGTGAACATTCTGGTCATGAAGCAGTGGCCCACAACACGAGAAAAAACAGGAAACAAAATGTCAAGAATTAAACAACCAAATGAATCAGGAACTGGAGATGTGGCTCAGTGATAGAGTGCTTGCCTAGCATATGTGTGTGGGGGTGGGGGTGGGGGGGCCAAGCCATATACATGTGCGTGTGTGTGTGTGTGTGTGTATACATATATACATATATGTGCATGTATATATATGCATATTTATTTATATTTTTTAAAATGAATCAGCAACTGATGAGATCACGACTTGAAGAATTTGTGTGGTGGTCAATTTTTATGAGTCTGCTAAAAAAAGGTTTACTATTAGGCAAAAATTGAATTAGTTCTGGTACATACCCAGATTTCAAGTCCGTTATCCTCAAACAATTTGTAGCATCCAGCCCCACTTTTCCATTCCGGACCACACTAGAGATGAATGGGGAAAGCATTGGAGAAATTCGGTTCAAGGCCACTTCTGGGGACATTTTGACTCAACTTATAAACCACCACTGAAAGCAGAAGAAAAGAACGGTGATCAGAATTTGCAAAGAAATTAGATAAAACGAGCTTCCTAAAAGTAGCATAGAACTCAGAATTTTTCTCTTGCATCAACAAATACACTATTTCCCATCTTTAGAGTGGCCTCTTCCTGTGTTCCTCCAGAAGAACCCATCTCCCTGCCACCAGGATACTTAGGACACAGACTGCACCACTGCTTTTCAGGAATGACAGGAACCTTTGAAGTACAGGTCCTTCCTCCTTTCCAGAGATGGTTTCTACACTACCACGCTCTGCTTACAGCTGTCTCACTCTATTTTATAACTGCCTCTTCTACTTTGGTTGAGACCAAAACGTCTTCACTCCCCAATGCTCTCCCCTAAGATACAAAACACACACACACCACTGAGTTAGGAATTCCTCCATCTGTGCCCCCACAGGAATGAGAACTTGACTGATAATCATATGCAAAACTCTGGAACATAACCTGCTTACAACTGTTACTTACTAGAAATAATTTACTGCTGACAGACCTCTCTTAATAACAGTCCTTCAAATGTGTATTATAACTATCTGCTACGTGAGCTCTTCCCTACAAGGACTGTATCTTGTGTTTAACAAAAACACCTGGCATTAGACTAAGCATCCAGTAACATTTTAATAAATAATAAATTAATATAGTAATAAATTTAAGCAATAAATTTAATTTTAAAATAATTTCAATAAATTAATAAAGGGACCAAAGCTAGAGAAACATTTAGGGATGGAGAGGGTATATGTAACACACCCTCAAAAAATAGTAGGGGAATAAATGTAGCAAAATCTGAGGAATAGATGAAGCAAAAATCTACTTAACAATTCAATCATGAAAACATACACCTACCCAAATATTAAGCAACACAGACTAACATGAATCTCTCAGTCTTTGATTTTCAGGCACTAAGAATTCCTTACACTTGAAAACATAAAAGCAAAACCAATAAATCAGATCTAAATTACTTAGAAACTCATGGGCTGGAGGAAGGAGTACATGAATTCTTCTTAAAAGGTTTCTAAATGATATACACAATGGAATTTTATGCAGCCATGAAGAAGAACGAAATGTTATCATTCGCTGGTAAATGGATGGAATTGGAGAACATCATTCTGAGTGAGGTTAGCCTGGCCCAAAATTGTATGTTCTCCCTCATATGTGGACATTAGATCAAGGGCAAACACAACAAGGGGATTGGACTTTGAGCACATGATAAAAGCGAGAGCACACAAGGGAGGGGTGAGGACAGGTAAGACACCTAAAAAATTAGCATTTGTTGCCCTCAACGCAGAGAAACTAAAGCAGATACCTTAAAAGCTACTGAGGCCAATAGGAGAAGGGGACCAGGAACTAGAGAAAAGTTCAGTTCAAGAAGAATTAACCTAGAACGTAATACACATGCACAGGAAAGCAATGCCAGTCAACTCCCTGTATAGCTATCCTTATCTCAACTAGCAAAACCCTTGTTCCTTCCTATTATTGCTTATACTCTCTCTACAACAAAATTAGAAATAAGGGCAAAATAGTTTCTGCTGGGTATTGAGGGGGTGGGGGGAGAGGGAGGGGGTGGAGTGGGTGGTAAGGGAGGGGGTGGGGGCAGGGGGGAGAAATGACCCAAACATTGTATGCACATATGAGTAAAATAAAAATTAAAAAATAAGATTTCTAAATGAAAAACTACTTTCAGAGTGAATAAGTCAATTCAAATGATCATTCTGTTTCCTAGTCTAAAAAGATAATCCCACATCAAAACAAATTAATTTCCAGCCAGTTACAATTGTAAGTAACTGATGTTCTGGTTTTAGATTTCATAAGTTATACCACATAAGGACTTAGAAGTACATGCTAAAACTAGCACTTGTTCTAATTTATCATTTCAGATATTAATAAAGGGAAAGACTGCAGTGACCTTTCAAAAAAAATAACGCCATTGTGACCTTATGTAGTGATGACACCCAAAAGTACATTTAAGGTGGCAAAAGTTTTATACTATATACTTTTTAGCTCCCAAACCATCCTGTCTGCAAATATAAACAAGCTCCTCTTCTGACTCCTTAGACAGAGACCGTTCCCTGCCAATCTGTCATCTCAAAGTAACAAGCATCTTAGGTTATGTACAATCATAAAAATCATGTACTGTACATTTTACCACTTGTAATAAGTTTCTGTATACATTATTGCAATTGTTCTTCATGACCTGGGTAGTAAGGCAGGTGTTTTAATTCACAGTTTTCAGATGATATAAATAAAAATCCGTGTTATCACTTGGAAGACTTTTTTATTCTGCAACGTTTCTACTTTTATTTCTGTACACTAAGAGGATGCTTATCTAGATCATATGCAAAACACAGAAATACTCATCTGCGGGAAGGGAAAAGCAAAAGGATCTCACACGACAAAATATTCTTCCCAGGTTTTTCCCCTACAGTACCTACTATTATTTTACCTCTCATTTCTCGAAAAAAGAGAAGTAGACACATTCAGAACATCTACTATATCAGCACTATGTTACTCCCCTGCTTTGTGAAGTCATTCACTTCCTCCCAACAACTCTTGTTTCCTGGTGAACACTGTTCCCATTTTACAGAAAACTAAAGGTCAGCAAGTCAAAGTAACTTATTCAAACAACTATTGCAAACATGGATCAGAATTCAAATCCAGATCCCTCTCAAACTCCACTGTTCCTATGTTCCTCTCAAAAAAAACATTAATAACTTCGGTCGCCAAAGAGAAAGCACCTTTTTTAGTATACACCTTGTAAAATGTGAAGACAAACTCATGAAAGGAATGAGGGCTTTACAACTAGAAACTAGACTGCTGCTGACCTACTGCTGAAGCTTGCCTGCATAAATCACTAGTTAAATGCTAAAGGAAACAAAACTGCTCCAGAAACTAAACCAAACTAAAAGTGACAATAACCTATCCCAACTCAGCAACTGTCATGACCTTAGGATAATATCTGAGGGAATAAATTTACAGGACGATCATAATATTATTTTTGACAGTGCAAGATGTTATGCAGCATTGAAATGTTTCAGTCATGAGGAGATGTGACTTTTCTAAGAAACAGGAAAAAATATACTAACTACAAAATGAGAAATCACCCATTAGCCAAAAAAAAGGTCCTTTGGTGCAGTGAGCAGGGTCGTGGATTGGAGTCAACCTCCCCCACACCCCGCCAAGGAACTTTTAGACATGACAGCGTTATAATGGATCCAGAGAGAAATTTTTGATGGTGTGCCTCTTATGCTGGTTGAGCAGTTTGTATTTCCTGATTTTGACGTATTTCAGAAGGAAAATGCACAAATACAATTTTTACAAAAGCCTGCTGCTACTAAATAAGGTCACATAAGGTCTTTTGGGTGGGCTGCCTGGGGAGTACAAAGACGTATAAAGCACCGTCCAGGCTCTGGCAATTAGGATAGGATGACAAACACGGAAACATGTGCCCGGTTGACGTCATGGAACGGAAAGGGGTGGCCTCCTGCTGCATCACGTCGACGTCATACGGCGCACGAGGGAAGTTACGCTGGGGAAGCAATTTCTCCAAGGGCAATTATCAGGAAAAACAAATTGATTCAATCCCAAAGAATGACCACCCCACTCTGGGGAATATCTAGAGGAGATACTCTCCTTTCTCCCAAACTGTATGATCCCTTCATCCAGTGGAAAGGAGGAAGGCTTACTCTAGGAGCTGAATCAGGGACCAGAAGGGTTAGCCAGATAAGGACAGAGACAAGCATATGGTCTTAGGGGCTAGTTCTTGAGGGGATCAACATGATGGGGTGAGCGGGGTTATCTTAGGAACGGGGGCCTTCTCTCGAGGAAGAGAAGGCGAGCCCCTCTGGCCATATTTAAACCACGGTTCTCTGTGCCACCTGTGCGACTCGGGATCCAACCTCCCCGCACCAGCCCCAGTCCAGGTACCTGGAACTTAGTCCGATCGGTAACCGGCGACTACGTGGGGTACAGGTTACCCGAGCGCGCCCCCGACCGACGCACCGATCTGCGCGCGCACCGCGGGCAGGATGCGTGCGCGCTCCCCGGACTTGCAGCCCCGCCCCCTCCGCGGCCTGGAGCCGAGGCGGCGTGCGCGCCCCCGCGCCTCACCGCGCCAAGCCGGGCGCTCAGTAAGGCGTCCCTGCCGCGCCTGAAAGTAACCCGTCAGCGCCTGCCTGGCAGGGGATAGGGGCCGAGGGGCGCCGGCCCTCGCCATGTCGGGAGGGCCCTCTGTCGTGAACCGCTGTGGAGAGACCTTGCCTACGGGGAGTGGGGACAGCTGATGGGCGGGGTTACTTCGGGCATTCGGGCGGGCGACCCGCAGAGACGTGCGGAAGGCCCGCGTCGCTAGGGACGGGAGGGGCGGTGTTTTCTGGTTACAGGGTCGGGCAAAACGCAAAGGGCAGCGTCTCGGTGGGCGGGCACCACCGTTTGGTAATGGCGGCGTCTGGGGAGCCCAGGAGGCAGTGGCAGGAGGAGGTGGCGTCAGTGGTGGTGGTGGGCTCCTGCATGACCGACCTGGTCAGGTTAGTCCGGGGCCGGTGCTCGCGGGACGGGGCGGAGCGGGCTCCGGGCAGTGTCTTTGGGGACCGACAGGGTAGCCTCCCAGCCCTCCTTTCTCAAGTGGAAAAGGCAGAATTCGAATTTGTTAAGGTTAATGTCAGGTGAGGGGACGGAGAGGACGGTGTGAATGAAAGCGCTGATGTTACGAAAGATCTGCGCCCGTTTCCTGGGCCAGGCTGCTGAGCCTTCCCCGTGACCAGCAGATGACTGACCACACGCGTCGTTGTACGTCCGAGAGTGTGCCTACCTCACGGGGCTGTTGTGAAGACCGAATGAAGTGTTTTGTCAACCGTCACACTCACTAGGGTGGGCATTATTCGTCTGAGTTTGTATCAGATAATGAGTTGAGCAGGGATCTAGAAAACACTCACCTCTCCCCAAATTGATTGTTGGCATGCCTGCAGTATTTTATATTTGCAGCTTATTTTTCAGTATTATTGTAACGGTGTAACCTTATGACAACCCAAGTGTGAGTCAAAACAAAAACTCATAAATATTTGCAACCATTAAAAAAGTAGGCTAAAGAAGAATAGTTGAGTTAGGTCAGTGAGACTGGAGGACAGAGCCTTCTCATTTCTTTATATGAAAACGACTTTTCTGATGATAATGTATATTCATTGTAAAAAATTTCAGATGTTATAAGAAAATCCTACCACTGTTTTTAATGTTAGTGATCAGCTTTTTTAACATAATGTATTATATCATTAAAAAATGATTAGGCTTACTGCAGTAAGACATCATCAGTCTCTAAACCTTGTTTTTCCAAAGGATAAAAGAAAACCTGGAAATAAAAGGGCATTGGAGTAATCAAACTGAATCAACAAATCCATGCACCAATTTACCCACATTTTACTCAGAAAATAGCCCCTGTTTTCACATAACCAGTTTAATCTTGCTTGAAATGTTTATAAACTATTATCAAATTACCACATTGAAACCAGAAAGATGAAGGTGAGACTGCAGGGGGCAGGCATAGCGATTAACAAAAACCTGACAATAAGAGAGTATGTAGCAACGGCAAAAGATTTTTAAATACTAGTGGCCTTTATTTTCCCACAAATATTTGCTACCTTGTCACATGTTGTACCAAGGTGGGTGTGCTTTCTTTGGTGACAGAGTATAATGTTCAGTCTAGTAGTGCACATCAGGTGAAGAGGCCTACACATGTTTTTGTAAAGCAAGAGTCAAAAACCTTTCTGAAAAGAGGCAAGTAATAAATATTTTAGGCTTTGTAGGACATATATGGTCCAAGTCACATTTTTGGGAGAACCTGTGAGAAATGTAGAAGTGATTTGTCCTCCAAGTCTTAAAAAAACAGCCTGCAGGCCACAGTTTGTACCTCCATGTCTAGAGTGTTTACAGCTTATTATAGTGATTAATGTTACTAGTGACGATTCCTCAAGAAAAGTTAATAACAGTATTCGTAAGTTTTATGTAAAAATAAGGGATGTGTCTCCCTTTAGAAATAGTCCCATCAAAAGCATAAAGTTTAGGGTAGTGAGGCCTGGCAGAGTGGCTCAAGTGTAGAGCGCCTGCCTAGCAAGTGTGAGGCCCTGAGTTCAAGCCCCAGTACTACCAAAGGAAAAAAAAAAGTCATAAATCATATGCCATAATAAAGTTTAGGGTAGGGGCTGGGGAGGAGACTCTGGTAGAGTACATGCTTAGCAATCCTCAGCACACACAAAGATACTGCCATAGATATATCCACATATAACGCATTTATAGATACATATATCTATACACATGTTTACTTGCATAATGAACCTTCAGGCATCTAAACTAATTCATTGAGAAATCCATCTAGCTAAATTTTTTTGTCATACGTTCATATAGGAAGTAGCAGAAGAAGAAGAAAGCTATGCAATTTTCCCATGCATCATGCCTGAATAGAAATGTCAGGGTTAAATTCTGGAAGTACTTTTTCAGGGAAGGGGAAAAGGCAAAAGACATTTATTTGGGGTTGGGGGCATGACTCAAGTGGTAGAGTACCTGTCTAGGAAATGAGAGGCCCTGGTTAAAGCCCCAGCACTCCACCTCATAATTGAAACCTATTGCTGCTGAAACGGGGTTTTTTTGTTTTTTTGTTGTGTATGTCTCTGTGTGGTACTGGGGCTTGAACTCAGGGCCTTCACCTTGAGCCATTCCACCAGTCCTATTTTTGTGAAGGGTTTTTCAAGATAGGGTCTCAAGGAATTATTTGGCTGGGCTGGCTTTGAACCTTGATCCTCCTGATCTCTGCCTCCTGAGTACCTAGGATTACAGGTGGTGAGCCACCAGTGCCCAGCTAGCTACTGAAACAAATTACCAGAAATTTAATGGCTTAAGCAACATAAATCTATTACTTACATTCTGGTGGTTGGAAGTCTTGACACAGGTCTCAGTGAGCTAAAATCAAGGTGTCAGTGGGTTGGACTCCTTTCTGGAGTCTACAGGGGAGAATATGTTTCCTTTTCCACCTGTTAGAGACTGCCCTCATTCCTTGGTTGGTCATGGCCCCTTCATCTTCAAAGCCAAGAGTAGTTCGTCAGGTCTTTCTCATAGGACATCAATCTGACCTTCACTCTTCTGCCATTATAAGAACTCTTGTGATACCTTGGGCCCAACCACATAATTCAGGATAATCTCCTGACTTTAAAATAGCTTATTAGCAACCTTAATTCCCCCTTGCTGTGTACAACATATTCACACATTCTAAGAATTAGAATGTGAACATCTTTTGGAGATGTTATTCTGTCTACTACAGTGATTAAATTTGAAGTCAGAAAATCTTATGATACTTGTGGCTCAGGAATTTTTGAAACCTATTAGTCCATCCTCACATTTTACAGACATGAAACTAAGAGAGCTTAAAGGGCTTCTCCCAAATCAGGCAGCCAATTAGTGGCATAGTGGAGGCTGGGACACAGGTCTACTAGTACTGCCCTTTTCATACACGGTTCATTTGGAAGCCAGTCGTCTGTATATTCATTGAGTGTTTATCTTACAAGCTGATGAGGAATAATGTATGGATTTATCATTTTCAGATCTACAGATAGTGTCTTCCTCACTCTTATTTTACTCCTACATTTAATAGTGCCTACACTGTAGAATCACTATAGAAATAAAACTATTTTAATAACTAAGCCTTTCTGGAAGCCATTCAAGTCCCAACTTTCTTTGTATACTACATTACTGTGTGCCAGATACTGATAATTCAATCAGTGAACAAATTTTTTCATTTCTAATTTCAGTCCTCCATGAATTGTAAGCTCTACCATAGTAATAATTTTTAAAAACCATTAGCTCATCCAACATGGCTGACAATCAACATTATTTAATACCCGTATATATTTATCATTATCCTCTTCCTTCTTGAACATTCGTCTCTAAAGTTTCCATGTTATAAAGGTAAATCAAGCCTGTTCTTGTGGAAAATAAAGTCAGATTTCCTCCAAAGGCAAATGTCTATGAAAACCCAACAACCTAGGAACATTTATTGATGTTGGGTTCATAGACCTTAGTTAATCATTCTTTCACTAATCGTCTTATTTCTTATGACATGTATCACTCATTTTTTTTCAGTTACTCAACAAATTTTTGAGTTTACACTATGTGCCAGGTTCTTCCCTAGGTAGAAAGGATACATAGACAATAATCTCTGCTTCATGGAGCTTACATTCTACAAGGTGAGACAGACAGTATCAATAAAAACAAGCAAAATACATGGTATGTTGGATAAATACTACAGAGAAAAATCATGAAAGGAGGATGAGAGTACTACTAAGTTTGGATCCTTGACCAAAGAAAGTCTCACTCAGAAGGTGATTTTGAGTAAAGACCTAAAGGAGGAAAGGAAACAAGCCATGCAGAAACCTGAGGGAAGAGCATATGCCTGGACTTGTTCAGTGAACAACAGTGAGTCCAGTATGGCTGAAGCAGAAGAGGTGAGGGTCATGTTTATTGCAGCACTATTCACAATAGCCAAGTTATGGAAACAGCCAAGATGCCCCACCACTGACGAATGGATCAAGAAAATGTGGTATCTATACACAATGGAATTTTATGCAGCCATGAAGAAGAATGAAATGTTATCATTCGCTGGTAAATGGATGGAATCGGAGAACATCATTCTGAGTGAGGTTAGCCTGGCCCAAAAGACCAAAAATCATATGTTCTCCCTCATATGCAGACATTAGATCAAGGGCAAACACAACAAGGTGTTTGGATTTTGATCACAAGATAAAAGCGAGAGCACACAAAGGAGATATGAGGATAGGTAAGACACCTAAAAAACTAGATAGCATTTGTTGCCCTCAGTGCAGAGAAACTAAAGCAGATACCTTAAAAGCAACTAAGGCCAATAGGAGAGGGGACCAGGAACTAGAGAAAAGGTTAGATCAAGAAGAATTAACCTAGGCTGGTGCAGTGGCTCAAATGGTAGAGTGCCTGCCTAGCAAGCATGAAACCCGGAGTTCAAACTTAAGTGCCACCAAAAAAAAGAATTAACCTAGAAGGTAACACACATGCAAAGGAAATCAACGTGAGTCAACTCCCTGTATAGCTATCCTTAACTAGCAAAAACCCTTGTTCCTTCCTATTATTGCTTATACTCTCTCTTCAACAAAATTAGAGATAAGGGCAAAATAGTTTCTGTCAGGTAGTGAGGGGGTGGGAGGGAGGGGTGGGGGGAGGGGGGAGAAATGACCCAAACATTGTATGCACATATGAATTAAAAAAAAAAAAAGGTGAGGGTCAGCAATCAGTGACTAAAGTACATTGGGTCATACTCTGAATGAGATAAAAAGCCATTGAAGGATTTGAGCAGAGGAGTGACATAGTCTGTATAGGATCACTCTGGGGGATATGTGAGAAAAAAAATGAAAGAAGCCAAGTGCAGAAACAGGGAGACAAGGTCAGAGTTGATCATAATAATCTTGTCAAGAAATGGTAGTAGCTTGGAAGCACTGTAAGTGTGGAGAAACTA